TGTGTGTGTGTGTGTGTGTGTGTGTGTGTTTGTGTATGTGGTGAGCACACATGTACCCTGGCAGTTAAAAAAAAAGAAAAAAAGAGAAAAAAATTTAAAAATAATTTTTAAAATATTATTTTAGGAAAGGCTTTTCCAAACATAAGTAAGTTTAAAATCACTTGAAAATTAACTTGGAAACTACACCATTCGATAGGTTTTCTTTTTCATTTTAGATTCGCTATAGCTAAAATATGGACACAACCTATCTGTCCAATAACTGATCAATGGACAAAGAAAATGTGGTATTTATACAGAACGGGATATTATTCAGCCAGAAAAGGATGAAATCCAGTCAGTTGAGGCAACATGAATGAACCGAGAGGAAATAACGCCAAGTGAAATAAACTAGACACTGAAGGACAAATACCATATGCTCTCACTCAGAGGAAGGGAAAAGACTCAATTGCATAGAAGTGCAGAATGTGGCAGTGGATACCGGAAGCCAGACAGGGAAGTGTGATGGGAAGAAGGGGAAATCCTGGTCAGATGTGAGCGTGCAGGGGGGTAAGCGGGGCGAGTTCTGGAGTCCTGTAGCACAGCAGAGTGAGGATGGTTGGGACAATTCAACGTGTACTTCAGAAGAGAAGAGTGGATTTTGAACGTGCCAAGGCAAAGTAAAGGTAATTGTCTGAGATGGTCAATATGTTTACTGCCCGATTTGGTCATCACACAATGTGTATGTGTTTTGAAAAACCATACTGTACCCCATAAATATATTTAACTATTTGGTTGTCTGAAAAATCAAGACGCATTGTTGCATAGAAAAATGTGTCATCATTTTTCCAATGACCCACTATTATATGTAAATTATAAATTATATTAATAAAAATGTACAATAAGATGATCACTGGTAGTTACTTTAGATGTTTTCTATTTTCTTAAAGAACATTGAATATCAATACTGATATCACCTAAAAATAATTTTTTAAATTTTATGTTGCCAATTAAAAAAAGGGAGAGTAAATCCAAAGGTAAATTTGTAGCCAAGATCTCATTTCTGAAAGGGAATCAGTCTCCCTTAGGGCAGTGGGGAAGCTGTTGGACCAGGTGACCTTGTTAATTATCCCTCACAACTCTCCAAATAGGCTGTGTCCTAGGAGCACAACCTAGAGCCTACGCATCAGGACCTTTGCTGTCCTTGTAATTCCCTTTACATTTTCTCAATAAGACACTCAAACTGTCTAAGGAAATGAGCACAGGCCTACAAGACACAGCCTATGAACCCCTGCTACTGAAATTTCATAAAACAAGCATCTCCATTGTGAGTTTCCTGGGAAAGGCTTAGAAGGCCGGGGTTTGGAGGAGGACTGTGGGTTTCTGAGGGTTTGGATTGTCTCCTAATCTATATTTCAAGTCTCCCGACTCAAACGTGCAGTGGTTTAAACCCAAGTCAGGCATATGTGTGTGAGTACCCAAGATCCCTAGAAGAGAATGGAGGAAAAGGGAATGCGGCGTGGCCATCTCCTCTGGGGGATGATTTCTCACTTTGTGTCTCTCTGTCTCTCTGTCTTCCTGGTGAGCGTACATGCTCTAGAACAAAAACCTGTCCAAAAGAAGAAAGAAAGGAAAGAAAGAAGAAAGAAAGAGAGAGAGAGAGAGAGAGAGAGAGAGAGAGAGAGAGAGAGAGAGAGAGAGAGAGAGAGAGAGAGAGAGAGAGAGAGAGAGAGAGAGAGAGAGAGAGAGAGAGAGAGAGAGAGAGAGAGAGAGAGAGAGAGAGAGAGAGAGAGAGAGAGAGAGAGAGAGAGAGAGAGAGAGAGAGAGAGAGAGAGAGAGAGAGAGAGAGAGAGAGAGAGAGAGAGAGAGAGAGAGAGAGAGAGAGAGAGAGAGAGAGAGAGAGAGAGAGAGAGAGAGAGAGAGAGAGAGAGAGAGAGAGAGAGAGAGAGAGAGAGAGAGAGAGAGAGAGAGAGAAAGAAAGAAAGAAAGAAAGGAAGGAAGGAAGGAAGAAATGCTCTGTTAGGCAATTGCACATGGGAAGGTTTCCGGTCTGAGTCCAGAGACCTCTCTGAGTACACTGGGCATACACATGCCCAGGATCCGGGGTTGGCTGAAGACTGAGAGTGGATCACAGTGTCAGGACCCTGTCAGAGGTGCCACCTCTCCCTCCATCTTTCTCTGCCTCTCTTGCTCATTGAAAAAATAAGCTTTTAAAAAGGCATTTTCAAAAAATATGATGTCCAGTATATTTTCAATGGCTACATAATTATCAACCACATGAATGTGACAAAAACTATTGAGACATTACTATTTGGGGACCAGAAAGCTATATTCTATTTCAAATTGAATTATAAATAATACAATCATAAACATTATCAAGTTTTACCATATGTCTGATTTTTTTAGTCCCTTAGCCCACTGCATTTTTCCATAACAAACCAACTAACCCGCCATAGCCCACCAATTTCTGGTACACTTAGTGCATCTATCATCTGTCTCCCCAAATCAGAATATAACTCACTGAAAGCAGCACTTTTTATCTGGCTTCCCAGAGCCAAGAACAGTGCCTGAGATGGAATAGTCACCGAACAAGCATTTGTTGAATGAGTGGGAGAAGTAAGTGTTGGCAAGGATGTGAATAAATTGGAACCTTTGTAAATTGCTGGTGAGGAAGTAAAATGGCATGGGTACTGTGGAAAACAGTATGATAGTCCCTCAAAAAATCAAGCAAAGAATTACCATTTAATCCACCCACTGCATTTCCAGGTTTACACGTCAAAGAACTAAAAGCAGGAACTTGAACAGATATCTATACATCACTGTTCATACTAGCATATTCAGAGTAGCCGAATGCCCATTGATGGATGCATGGATAAACAGAACGTATTATATCCAAGCAATGGAATATTAGTTTTCAAAGGGAAAGGAAGTCTGATACATGCCACGACATGGCTATACCCTGAAAATATTATGTTAAGGGCTAGCAGGTGGTGTGGAGGTTAAAGTGGCTGGATCCTACATGGCTGACTGCAGCTCGGGTCTTGGGCCTGGCAGCTTGAAAATCACGCCAGGCACATGTGTGTGCATGCCCAAAATCTCTAGAGGAGAATAGAAGAGAAAAGAGAAAGACCAGAAGAAAAAAAAGAAACAGTTCATTGTTTTTAAATATATAAAAGTTTTTAAAAATTTATTTTATTAAATTACTCTTTTCATTTTTATACTGGCATATAAATAAATAAATAAAAATACACACACATATATGTTTATGCACATCTATATTTATATTTATTTAATTTTATATATATATA